ACTGGCGTTATTTCAATTGAAATTTGAACTGGTGTTATTTCAATTGAAAATTGAACTGGTGTTATTTCAATTGAAATTTGAAATGGTGGTATTTCAATTTAAATTTGAAATTGTGTTATCTCAATTGAATTTTGAAATGTACTCATTTCAATTGAAATGTGAAGTATTTTTGTTTCAATTGGGATTTGAATTGATGTTATTTGAATTGAGAGTTTGAATGTTGTTGTTTAACTTTAATCTAAAATAAAAATGGGGTGTGTAATAATTTCAAATTGAATTTGAAATAGAGGAAATAGGGCACAACTGGTATGTCACTCTTTTTGTAAAAAGAATGTGATCTAAACAAGTTGAGGAGGCAAAGAACAATGTGATCTTAAATGAATAAAAGCGAAAACAAGGATTTTAAGGGTGATGCACACCACCAATATTAATCAAAAAGAATCCTAATTTTTTTATTTGATTTGTTTATATTGTTCAGAAGAAAAATGATCTATGAGAATAGCAGAGACTGGTCTTATCTTCTAGGATGATGGAGGAACAAAACACCAATGAGGCCCCCAAGTTGTGAGGAGTACACGGCTGTTAGGTGTACTCTTCACAGAAAATAGAGTAGGAAAAGGAAGGTGTGGTCTTCACATGTTACACCCAAGTGAAGACTACAGCTAGTTGACCTCTAAGAAGAGGATTTGAGAAATGGAAAGGAAAGATAAGGGCAATAAAGAGCTAATGTGCTCTAACCTTGTGAGACTGCAAGGGGCAGGCTTTACATTTTGGTAAACCAAAGATCCTGAAGGCTACTTTAGACTCCTTAAAAAGGAGGAAGCTTTGCTACTTTAAGGTTTATTTCTAGAGACAATGAATGCCCTGGGCTCGCAGAAATCAGTACCTTGGGTGTTCAGCAATGGAACCTGTAATTCTCAAGAATGGTCTTTAACAAGCTACACAACTAACCACGTACTTGAAGATCCTCTCAGTAGGAGTCAAGTAAAATGTGGTTCTGTGTTGTGATTGTAGTAAAAGATGGGGGGTGATTCTAGGGAAGAAGGGGGGGTTTATATAGTCTCAGTTCCAGTGTCAACTTGTGGTTGGTGTGTGAGTCTTGTCTATTCACGTGTCAACTTGTGGTTGACACTTGGGTTAGGTTTACTATGTATTTAATACATTACATACATGTGTTTAAGTGGCTCTTGACACTGAGCCTTGAGATGTAGCTTATGGCTTTATACAATATTTTGATATTACATATGGTACTGTTAGCCCATGGTCCTGTAATTAGGGCTCAGGGCTGACACACATGATTTGTGGCTTCCCAATGATCGATTCATCTCAACTTCTATACAATTGAAACCATAATAACACTCTAACAGCCATTTTTAAACTCAACAAAGTCCCACATAGTCAGCTGTTGCTTGCACTAACTGTGTGGGACTTTGTTGAGTTTTCTCATGTGCAATGGGTGTAATTATAGCACCAACACATGCTGCATTGAAACTGAGTACACACATCCAACAGGAGGTTCACCACAACCTCAATTTGTACACACACAGATCAATGATTGCAGTGATCAAACATCTTGGTCAAATGGGGCAAATGGGGAATGAGTACAGAAGGAGAGACTGGATGTCAGATAGTAAAGCTACAGCATGAAGATACATATTGTGAGTGATGAACAGGACTTGAGAGATTGTCACTTAACTTCACCAGACATCACAAGTGAAATAAGATCTTGCTTCTGAGTGAAAGTCTTCATCCAAAGCTACCTAAACAAGAGAGAAAGAACTTAGCTTGAGCAAGCAGGAACCAAAGAAAAAAGGGCTGAGAATAATGGAAGAGTATTATGTGTGATAAATCCAAAGAGGGTTGTGAGACACAAAGTTGTCAACATTAAGGGAAACATCACTGATTCTTAGGCTTGGAAATACTATGCAGAGCAATGTAAGTTTATTGCCACAAAAGGGCAGTGACTTTGGCTACAAATATCTCAACAACAACCTTGTCTCTGGTGGTGGATGTCAACACAACCTTGATCTCTAGCTTGGCTGCTGAAAGCTTTTGAGTGTAATAAAGTCACAGAAAATGAGGTTGATAGTGTCATCCTTACATTGAAATAGATTTTCAGCACAGTCCCACACTTGGTGTAATTGGCAACTTTAGAAAAATGTGGAATTGACATACTGATTACTGGGCTGATGTTCCATGGTCTGTGAACTTGGACCAGCTGAAGGAGCGGTATATATTGGCCATGTACTTTGACTAATGACACTACTAGAATCACATGAACAAATAGCATGGGATAACCATCATATAATCCTGGATATGACAGAGAAATTGGTTCAGGACTTGTGTTAATCACAGGCCTGTGATGTGATCTCTGTGTTTGGTTATGTTTGCACAGGTTCACATAGAGCTCTTGGAATAGACCATCAAACTGAGAAGGTATAACAGGAGCGGGATATTGTACATAAATTTTTGACGCTTTTGTTTTTAGCTGGGGCCAGGCTAAGCCTTGTATTTTTATTAAAGAATTTGAGTGTGTCTTTGAAGATGTATTTGGACGGTGTTTTGATTTTGATAACAGACTCAAAACTGAACTCTGACCAATATTTTGTCCATTCACCATTCACAGTGCCTGTGTGGGCTGTCCCAGACATTGGGGGCTTCAACAAGTACAAAGGGTTGCCTTTGTACTACTCAGGGCCCCTGATGTCTAGGGCACCCTCCATGGGAACTGTGATCAGTTTTTAGATCAACATTTTACCCACTCCTATAGTTCAGTACCTGATCAGTCTACATCAGAATCAATAAAGGATTGAAACAATCGAAGAACTCATTTGGCATGCCAGTAAGGGCAAGAGCCTCATGAACAAGGGAGAAAGGGCGCCAATCATGTATATTGACAGCACATGGGAAGGCTTTGAGTCTGGTTGCCACAGCAGGAGAACAATGGGTCAGCATCCTCTCTTTGAAGTTGAGATAATGGGGACTTGGCTTGTCCTTGAGAGAAAAACATAGTAGATAGCAAATATAAAAGTTGTGGTGAGGAATGCTTTCTGGTGCAGAGGCAAAAGTTGATGGACCCACTAGATTATTGATTGGTGCAATGTTTTGTTAAAAAGATGTTTCTTGGTGGTACCAAATACAAGTGCTCTGCTTGATGGTCAAGAATTCCAACTACAGAGCAAAGAAGACTATGGCAAGTGTGGTAGAGAGAATGTGAAAAATTGGATGAGTCAAACTTTCCTCCACACGGTGAAGAGGTGAAACAACAATAAAGGAAGAAGTGAAACTTGCCTCCTCATCATGAGCACATTGGATGGACTTGATGCTCTATCCTAGTCTAAATCTGCTTCAAATTGGTTTTTCACCACTGAGCAGCACTGGCCTCCAACAAGTGCCACTTAGATCATGAATCATATCTACAAAGTGACTCAAAACAATCATTGATTCACAGGTGGCACACATCTAAGAAGGAGAGGTCCTGCCAACAGATCATTCCTCCTCTCATTGTGGTGACAATGAAACAATCCCAATTTGATATCAGGACAATCCAAAAAGCTCCAAAATTGGAAAATTGCATTGTCTGTATCTGCACCCTTGAAAAACACAGCACATTCCCACAACACTCAAATTACACACTTTGGTAAATCATTCTCAATTAAGATGCTTTCCCAGCCAGTCAGTTGTTAGCAGTGGGAGAAAAAGCCTATGGCCACCACCCATGACATGGATCATGAATTCCAGCATGCCAAATCAGTTGATCAATCAATGTTCAAAGATTTCAAGTGTAGGGAAGGTGGTATTCTAATAGGGAAGTATGATATCAGTTGGACTTCAATGATGCACAAGTGCTTGAATACCATGTCAAAAGTGACACCAATTATGTTAAAAGTGGTCTCACATATTTCCTTTATGGACACTTCATGTAGCATACCAAAAATGAAAAATGCATCCGGTGTGAGTAAAAACATTGATTTACATGGCCCAGTGCCTTGGGTCCATATGGTAAAAGATCAAATTAATTATGTTTTCCCACAGCTACTTGGCATTGGTGGTGATGCTCTTAGTGGGTGGCAAGAAGCAAGAGCCTTCAAGAAAGATCAGACAAATATCTACCCATGATGATGATAATCATTCAGCTTGGAGCTATGTCTCCTGCAGCCACAAGCCACAATCTTCCTGTTCACTCCCTCCTTCAAGAAATACTACAACTTTCCTAGTTTGTCAATATTGTCCATCTCTATTGTATCTGCTGCTGGTACTTTGGGATTGATGCTGTTATTGCCAGGAGGTGGATGAGACCTGACCTGAGCCCAAAGCACTCATATTAGCATTTCCTGGGTTTTACAAATATACTAAAGTTTATTGGTCACTGTTTTGAATTTGAAACATCAATTTTCTGTGAATTTCTGCAGAAGCATAGTTGGTATGATTATCTGAGGGGTCAAGATATCTAAATAAGAATGTGCAATATGAGCATGGTTGTTGATATGATGTTTGATATGGTGTTTGATCTGGATGCTAGTACATCTGTCAGTAAGAGAGTGGTCCCAATCAAGAGTTGTCCTCAATCATTTGACAATACAGCTCACTCTTTGTGCCCTCTTCTAAGTGAATATATTTAGTTCTGTCACGTCTAATATGGGTCTCTTGGGTGGCTGATCAGTGACCTCTTTGCTCTTGTAAGTAAAATGAAAAAATATTTATTGTTGATGATATTTCAGTCCCATTTTGCTACCTGCTAATGACAATGTTAAATGTACTACAAGTAGCTCAGGCTGACTCCAAGAAGAGTCCTTCAAAATTCCCAAGTGAGATCTGTAGAAACTCTGTTGACTCTTTTCCTTTGCAGTAAGTGGGCCTATTCGGGCAGCTCTCCCGACACAGATCCGGTGGACGTCTAGGGACGAGATTGAAAACTCGAAAAGGGCCAGAATACCTTTGAATGCAGAACGATATGGGGTCCTGGGTGGGATGTCCCAGTACGACTCGAGTATGACAATGAGCAATTATAGGCTTATGCACAAGTAGAATTTATCGTCTTCGTTAGGATGGTTTGTCGGGTTTCTTAAAAGAATTACATCGAAACCTCTAGAACTATGCTGAGAAAATCATTTGAGAACTGAGGTAGCTGAGATCCGTGGTTGAAAAAGTACATATTCACGTCGTCTCTTTGGACTTCCTCCGGCTATCGTCAAGCGAAACAAAGTGACACTCAGGCAGTCAGGAGAGTGTTTCCGGACGCCGTAATTATGATAATCATTTGGCTTGGAGCCATATCTGCCGCAGCCAACGAGCTGCAGTCTTCCTTTTTGTCTTCAAGAAATATTACAGCTCTTCCAGTTCGTCAACATCGTCCATTTCCATCGCATCTGCCTCTAGTGCTTTAGGATCGATTCCGTTATCACCAGGAGGCGGACAGGAGGTTGACCCATTCTTAGTACCAGATGGTTGGGAAGTTATAACTTGAGGCAATTGGTTGGTAAGTGCGGTAGAGGATGATGGTATGGTGGGATCATTGAGGACTGCAAGGAGAGGTTTAGAAAGCGGGATCACGTCGTCCAACCAGATATATTCGTCATTGGCCTGTACTGCTTTGGCTGATTCAATTTGAAGAACAACGATCAGAAACACGTGAAGATCTGGAGATAAACAGAAGATATAAGGGCTCTGTGATTTACCGACGTCATTATATTTCACAAAGACGCGTTTTTCAAGTTTGGCGTTCAAGAATGCTGAATCGGTTAATTTTCTCACAAAGAATTCCTTATCGTTTAGGCATTTGAAAGGGAAAAAAGGTAAGTTTTCACGCTTACATCATGAAATTGATGTAAAATATAAGAAGATACTAACAGTAGCGATAGAAATCAAAAAGACAGCTTCTTTGCTAACGATTTTGATGTCCTTATCTTGTTTTGCTGCTCTTGTAACCCGTGTAACAGGTAAGATTGTCGTTCCAATTTTTTTATCAGCTCTTGCATTGGCAATAGCAACATGTGATCTTCTTGTCTTTTTTACAGGTGGTGCTGGTGCTGGAATTGTAGTTTGGAGTTGTGATTCAGATTCAATTGATGGTTCAAATTGAATTGGCGGAATAGTTTCATCTGATATGGTTTCTGGTTCGGGTTGATGCTCTGATGGTGATGTAGCATTTGAAGTTAACCGAGAAGACGAAGGTTGAGGTTCAAAGGACATCTTGCTTGAAAGATATTTGGTGAATGTGATCGCAATTGGTGATGAGTTTTTTCGTGACCGTTGGAGACATGCATTGATCACTCCTCATGGACACCGGCTTATCGGATCGGATCAGCTATCTTGCTCAATCGGGGAGAGGTTCATCGGATCGACTCGCGGCACATGCCAAGCGGTACCGCTTGAAACTCTTGTCTTCAATTTTGGTGTGATCAGTGAATTGAATAGTCTTAGTTCACCAAATTTCTATCATGCTTCAGATGGTACAAATACCTTGAAGCCTTTTTCTCTGAATTTAATGCTTGCCAGTGATAATTCCTTGATTTGGAACCGTCAGATTCCACTAACCCACAACAGTTCTAGGTTTTCCAACACAGAGGACTTGACTTTCCTCCCTGTATTGTGGTTGGGTCAATGGTGCGCAGAGGCAAGAGCATTCTGGTCCTATAAAATTTGTCACCTCCCAAGATAGAAACTATGTGATCTATGATTTATAATCTTCAAATACGCAAACCCGACAAAGCAAAACCCACAAAATCAGAAAATGAGACAAAAACCTAAGAAAAGCTACATATCATCATATATTCCATTAATTCCTGCATCCAACTCTAACATAACCCAATGCCCCGATAAACTATACCTTTGAAGTGCAAAACCATAGAGAGAGAAAATGCTTTCCAAAACCCTTCTTTAAACATCAACACGAACATATCCAGCCCCCAAGAGCTCTTCAGCTACTATACTACCTTCTTCAATTCCTTTAGCTCTCATCACAATTCCATGAGTAACTTGATCTCCTACCACACTGTCATGCTGATAGTTCGGGTCTTCCTTCACCACTTTCCTTAAATAACTCGCTGTAGTCATCAATCGGCCTATGTGTGCGCATCAATCCCATCAGTCAACTCGTAATTGAACAAGACATTCAATGAATACATACCCCTAGCTCGACCTTCGATTAATTCAAGATACCTTTCTAATTTATCCTTTATTCCTGGTTGAGTTGCAATATACTTTCTAACAATCCCTAACAATCCTAGATAGTTTCCTTTCCCATTGATGATCTCATTGATGGTCATTTCTTCATACTCTTCTTGTACACTTGTTTTGGTGTTGTTTGAGTTGGGAAAAACCTCTTTACGAAAATAAAACCGTTCGGTTTTACATGCATCTCGGCGTTGTGCTCGTTTCATATTTTCATCCACCTAAACAAACACAATCTCATTAGTCAAAGAACAGTCTTTCAAGAGAAAAAAACATATCAACCTTAGAAAGTGGAATATAGAAATTTAATCCAAAAGCTAAAATTGCCCTAACAAGTAAAGTGATGAAGGTCGAATAAGCCGCGTTCTCAAAATCGGTAATTTGTACTTCCATTGTTCTGAATTCGACTCTCCACCCAATTTCAGAATCCATAGACGGAGGTGGTTTGAATCTGAGTGATTGCCAATTTGTAGATTGGATATTCTACTCTTCCGAAAGAAGAAGCGAGGAAAAGAAAACGATCGATCAACTTTCTTTACATCACATCCACTCATCTCTTCACTCAAACGTAGGTATCGTCGTCGTGATTTCGAGCAGTTCAAGTATTGGCAACATTGGGTGACATGACCCGACTGCAAGACTAAAGAGAAGCACAGGTACCTCAAAATGATCCGTCGAATCAGGCGAGACGTCTTTCAATGTTTCTGAGAACACCACAAGTGGATCCCGAATGAAAAGATGAGCAAAGTGCCGAGCAATGAGTCGATCGAGTCCGTTTGAAAGCAATTCAGCCTCAAACTCGGCGTCGAGAGGTGCTGGTATGTCATCATACTCTGATCGATGAATTGGATCATCCGCAATATACACACTAACGCTATCATAACGTGATTTTGGGAGCTCCTGAGGAATGATGCAAAATGTTTCAAGTTTAGCTTTGCGCTGATCATCTCACATGTTTCTATATGGACCATTCCACAGTAGGCAGAAGGCAAAAACTAATCAGAACGCACCCCTCGACCTTCGACCCGCTCAGCCTGATTCCGATCATCCACCGCGCCTGAAATGACACTCCAACGACAGTCAACGTCGGTGAGAAAGCCCTTATAGATCGGGGACGCAGCTGAGAGAGCCAACATAATTGGAGCGATAGGTACAAGAGCATCATATAAGGTACGAGCCTGCGAAACGGATTGCGCTTGAAAGGTGAGTTGAAGGCAGCAACAGCCCATTCCGAAACCCATTGCGTCAAGGTAGATATGATCATCAGGTATATCATCGGGGATTAAGATATCCGGACGATGTCCGTTCAGGTGCACCGTATCAGCTGACTGGATCTTTTTAGGAGTGGAAAGTATGGTTGGATCTCGAAAGGGACGCGGAGTGTGCGTATCATGGTAAATTGGAAGATAAATTGCCACTTTCGAGCCACGACGTTGACGAATGTTGGCAGTCAAAGTGCTTTGTAAAAACATGTCAATGTGAGTCACAGTGATTGTTAAAGATGATAAATATGGTAGTGGATCTTTACATACGGAAATCGAACGTGTTCATTGATGACTTGATCAGGGAGAAATAAGCTCTGCGCGACTGGACCACAGGGTGCGTGATAAGGTTCAGTGAAAGTGCCAGGTGCACCAAGTGTGGGAAAAGATGTAAGGGTGATTAAATGTTGATGAGGCAAGAGTCTACTCTGAGCTAGCTTGCGCCTGATGGAATTAAACCCAGAGCAAGCATCATGGATCAGGTAAAATATTGTTCGTGACAGTAAATGGTTTCTTGAAAATAAGTCATGAGGAATTACCGGAATCGCATGTCGTATTCAACCTTCAGACAATCTTCCAGTGATGGACCATAAGGTTTGCCTGGGGTTGATTCTAGCATGAACCTTCCATACTCTTGATGGAATGTTGGCAAGACGTCGATTGAACTGCGCGATCAAACGAACGATCAGACCAAGATTTAGAAGAGATATCAACGCAATGTAGAAGTAAAAAGGTAGAGAGAGGTAAACAGACCTAGGTAATTGCAATGTGTTGATCGAACGAAGTTGTTGTAGTACTTCAAGTTGAGATAATGATAAGTTCACGTGATTTGATGACTGATCAAGTGAAATCAAGAAATATTCAATCTCATCACCCCAAAGTAACTGATGCCCGACTTGACAATGAGTTTTATCCCAAAGTTTGATGAGTTGAGCAATCCCATTCCGACGAACATGATTAGCGTACTAGATATACATAATTCCAAGCGCATATATTGAAGAAAACAAACGAACAAGTGAGTAAAATGATGATGTCATGATGTAAGAAGGAAGAAAGGAAGTGAAGACATTTACCAAACTACATTCTGGCCAATCGAATGGGGTACCGAGTGCTAATAAACCCATTCTCTGATCGGTTTGATGATGCCAAAGTATTTAATCCAATCAAAATGATAAAGGAACAGGTACAACAAAGATGATCGATAAGGCTAGAGAAAGTTTTACACAAGGGTGATACCTCTATTTTTAAACTGTAGATATCGAGTTAACACCTTGAACGAACGAAGTAAAGTTTAGCATTCAAACACATCAAAAAAGTGACTTATTACAAAACTAGATAAGCAAAGTGATATGGATCAAGTTGGATTCTAAAGTAACCAGGGATGCGAATCAAAGATGTAGGATGGACAGGGGTGATAAGGGAGTTCTAGATTCGACATAAAACCAAAATCACAAAGGGAAGTTCAAATTAGTATGTAGTCTATTGTGATTAACGTTCAACAGAAATCAACACGAATCCTGGTGAGAATCAATCACTGAGGTTTAGAACATTTCATCTCGATCAAGTTGTGAAGATAAACGAGGATTACCGGGATGAATATGTAAGCGGGTTTCAATCAATTTTCATCAAGCTGCCTGACTATGGCGTCATTTGAGTCATAAAGATATTTAAATTCGTATCAGACTTTCAAACTTCATATCTTCCATTCAAATTGCCTTTCACACAATCCTATCATGAGTTTTGCCTTCTCATCATGATAACAGGAACATACACACACATACAAATGGCCCTACGCCAATGCCCTGAAGTAAGATCACTCAAACACCTGTGTACAGGCTCAGTAGCTTACAAAAACTGTGCCGCAAGAAGCCCATAGCGGGCAACATCGGGCAAGGATTGTGCAACCCGGTGTATGCTCCTGTAATCCTTATCACGCATCAAAATCACGTCACACCTGTGCCCAAGCCAAAGTCTTGGCCCAAGCTTTTTCAAGAGTCGGGACTTGATTTGCCAACCAACCCTTTAGTCATCTCATTTGATGTTCCAACCTGATTCTTGGACCTGCCTAGGCTCCTTCATCATGCTACACACTTCTGATACACCAGTCTTAAGTCTCTATCAAACAAATTACAAACATGATCTCAGATGTAACTGGGAGTCAAATTCAAAACCTTTATTCACAATTTTGTCATTGGCTTCACCTGACTAGACCGAGTTACTGACATCAAACTTGCACCTGATATATATTAAGGAATGGATAGGGTCACAAAGCCTGAAAAATAGGAAAGATATCCTTCCTCATGAGTAGATAGTCAAGGGAGGGACTTTGTGAAATTTAAGCCTTCCCAAAGATGATACTTCAAATAAATAATCCCCAATTCAGCTTGATGGATTTGTTCACATTTATTGTCCAATTAATTCTTGAACTTGCCATTCTCCAATTGCTTGGATGGGGTGCAGCCAGACTTCCTCCAGAACTACTTGCCTCTCCCAAACCATACATAAATCATATCTTATTCTTTAAATTGCAAGTAAATATCATCAGTAAGCCTTTGAGCACGGTTCCTCCTTTTTGATATTTTCAAGACCTCTATGAGCTAAATAGCCAAAATATGCCCTTGTCTTTAGTTCTATCATGGAACTCCAACTCATCTGACTTCTACCTCTATCCTGTGTGTTGGCTTTTTCAAGCGCTGTGTCTGTAGGAAAAAACCATGTTGGTGCAGACAGATCACATGTGTGTCCTGTTCTCCTCAGAATTTGCCAACATCTATAAATTCTAATTCAATCATTGCCTCTTATGTATCTGAATGATTATTTATGCAAAGTATAACTAAAGAGGATTGGCACAGTGAATTTGTTTGGTGTTCCTGCAAAACCTATGTGCATGTTGTGTGGTAACTAGTCATACAGGCTAATTGTGATCAGGTCAGTCTCTTGACAAGATCTTGCTTCTGAAAGAGCTCAAATATGTATCACTTCAGTCAGGTTCATCTTGCAAGATAGGTGTATGTAACCAATATTGAATTGATCTCCACCCTTTTTTGTATCCTCATAGATTCTTTCAAGCAAAAGTATCTTTTCTTTGCAAAAATCTTGACACTTGGACCCAAGACTTTAAGTGTTTGACTTGATCCAATGGTAACTTAACATGAATTTATTGGATCCAGCTGAACAGCCTACGCTGCAAAAAATATAAGTAATATATTACAGGCAGACAAGAAAAGTATCAATATAGAAAAATACTTAGTCACCAAGAAGAGAGCAAAAGTCAAAAACATGTACATCTTGTTCCTAGCTCTTGGAGCTGTCTTCTTTTGTATTTTCCAAACATACATTGGTCTATGTACTAACAACAACATTTGAAGATCACCAAAGAACTAACTGTAACAATACCTGAAATTGGGCCCACAATTGTGAAGACAAACATCTTGTGTGTATGTAAACTAGTACTATAAGTTTAGTCATCATTACTATATTTAAGAACGGTGGGGGGTTCTAAAGAAGCAAAGGTGTGACTTGTTGTTGACTATAATTAAAGTGGGGGAGTTTCTGGCAAGCTTGAGGCACAATTGAAACAGAGATTGTATCCTAACTCAACAAAATTCATCTCTTTCCTCTGGGTTGCTGGAATGACAAAATTGGTTCAGTAGGCATTGGAATGAGGTTCAATGGATCTGTGAGCTTCTGAATTATTTGGTATGACCAATTTATCAAAATTGAGCATACACCACTACAAAGCAGAGCAAGCATTCAAAAACATCAAAATAGTGACCCATCACAAAATTAAATTACGTAAACTGGTTTGTATCCAGTTTGAGTCTTGATTAGCCATGAATGTGAATCAGGAATTCAAAATGGTGGGGTGCAGTAAGGAAGTTCTAGATATGAAATACAGCAACATATAAAAATCATAAAACAGAATCAGATGAGAATCAAGAAATGCTGTTTAGAACTTTTATCAAGATGATAATGTGTGTAAGATGGCCAGGATTCATAAGCAATTGGTTGAGTTTTGAGAGTATTCATCAAACAAAGGAGTCCATGGCAAGCTCACATGTTACATACTAACTTAACACAAGTCCCCAATTATTGCAGGGCTATCTTAATCCTTGCAAGAGAGGAACTTTGGTATTGAATATCTCATGGTAACCAATCACTCATATCTGTTATTCTTGGCAGGCCTTACCAGATTTCATAACTCATCTGATGGATAATATCATGGTCAAAACCAGTGAAGTTGTGGTACGTTTTCATAAGTGTATATTGAAACACTGAGAGCAAGCAAAGCTAGTCTTCCTTAACCATATGTCTTTACTTTAGCTTCAGATATTTTCACTTTTGGGCAATCAACACACATGCCATCAATAACAACAGGTGAGGTAGAATATAAGAGTGCAAAGTGAGATGCAGCAAGTCTTGGAAAGCTTTCAATTATCAAACATAATTCTTATAGGGTGGGCTATCTATATATAAGGAAAACACAGATGTAAGGTGTTCATCTCAATGGAGGAAATTCTGGCAAGTGGCCTTTGGATCAGGACTGAACACTGAATGTTTATGTTCCAAAAAATTCAATGTGAATCATTTAGTAAAGAAAGGAAACTTCCACATGTAAATATATATGAGGATTAGAAAAAAGTGAACATCAGCCAATCATTGATGACAGTTTGGTATATGTATAGGAGATGAGGTAGCTGTATTTGATGGCTGACAGATTGTTTGTCTTTTATTCTTTTGGTTTTGGTTCAGCAAAATGTTGATCTGTGAGATTCAGTTAATGAATCCAATTCATTGGTAGATATGGAGACAATGCACATCAGTTCAGTGTGAGCCAATAAGGTTCCAAGTCAATTTAAATCTAATTCTAAATTTTTCCGGTTTGTATCAAAGTATAATTTTGAATATAGATTCCCTCACATCTGTTGATGCATCAAGATACAAAAATATCTTAAGACCATCAATAGGGGACTGGGATGGGGGTTGAGGTTCTGAGATGCCAACAGTCTAGCCTATTATATATATTGCTGCATGAGAGAGAAAAAGGAATAGTTGTACAGCTTGGGAGTATACATACAACATAATTCAGCGCGAATCGGTGATGTGTTGTACCCTTCATGTCACTGATTACATCTTATGTGGGATTGTTACACAGGGCCAGGCTGTACTTGAGACTGAACTGGAACATCCAATTCCATTTGAGAGGCCTGTGCTCAAATGAAAAGTTTCAATTTGGGTGTATGGAGTGGCATAATGAAGTTTACAAGATGGTGGTTGTTTTTTGTGAACAACTGGTACAATGTAATTGGTTGGCAACTTCTTTGACTCCTTTATGATTTTGCTTATCTTGAAGGGAAAGGATCTGGATACACATATTGAAGGAAACATTGCAATGGTTCCTGTCAACAAGCGTGGTTCAATAACCAACGAGTAACTGAATATATTTGAGAATTACAAGTTTCTATCTCAACAAATATCAACTGAGTTGAAGCATTAAAGAATAACTGGTCAAAGGTAGCACGAGGACAACACTAACCAAAATGGTTTAAATGGAATTTAAAGGAGATTGGAATGAGGTGGTTGCTGGTTTAACTTTGAGCGGTTTAAGCTAATAGTCAGATTGATTAGTTGGATAAAAGATGAAGAAAAAATGCCACAAATAAGAAAACAAGCTGGGTTTTATACCCTTGTCTGTAGTTAGCGCACACATACAAATGATATCACTATTCACCTAAGACGGATTTCCGTTACTAGAATATGAAATAATGTAAGCCTGATCCCAACACCCCTTTCCCTCAAGAGTCATCCCATGAGTTAATTATGTGATCCATCCTTCAATCCATAGACTTTCCCAGACCACCGGACTAACAGTTCCCATGTGTTAGCCGGATTGGTTTTAGATGTAATGGAACTTGAAGAGGGTTCCCAATCCTCTTCAAGAACCACAAACTGAGAACGTCTACTGCTTTCCAGAATTTCATAACATTATTACTTAATTCAAGATCTCTTCACACAAATTCCAAGAGTTTGAGTAATTAAGTCATTAATGAAAAGAAAAGTAGATATAGAGAAATAGAATGTATGAAATAGAAAAAAAACAGTTCTGAAAAGAATGATGATTAGAATTATTGATTTGAGAAAAAGAAATGGTGAATTGAAATATAGCTTCTCTTGATGGTTTTGTGGTCTTTGGCCTTCCTCACTTGTTATTCAGGAGATAGGTTGTCTAGGCAACTTATGCCCTGGCTGACAGTTCCCAACACAATGACCACCTACAGCCTACAGTCCTATTGGAAACCTGTTCTCAGTTTTTTTCAAAATGGCACAATTGACTTCATTGGCAAATGATCCTCAATATCAAGCCACAAAAAGCTCAGGTACAGCCGTATTCACAATTGATGAACATTTGAAGAAAAACTTTTTGAATGATCAGCTCAAATTGTAAACA